TAGACTGCGAAGTCCAGCAACGAGCTGGCGAAAATAGCAGAACCGCCATGAGAAAAGGCGTTTGCCTATATTTCCCTTAATAAATTGTCTTGACTTGACTTGAGGTTAAGTGTCTTTGGACAAAAAACGATATTTTGTTCTCGTACATTCAACGGTATCCTTGAAGTAGGCTCAATCGACACCTCGTCTCGTTCCCTCGCCTATCTGAAAGTCACATTGACGTGCGCAGCTTAAACTGCAACAGCTTCATTTACTTCTCACCATCAGCAGAATTCCAATCGGACTACTAAGATATCGAGGCCACACGCACACTGACGTTTTTCAGCGTTTTATCAACCGTTCTAGCGCTTTTGATCAAATCGTATTAACGTTTTACATTCACAATATGCACTTGCACTATAATATCAACCTACCCTTCTCCCTAGTACCTTTTCGCTAAGCACTTTTGTCTCATACAGTCTTTTTTGCTGACCTCTGCCCGAATGTCCTTCGTAGGAGTTTTTCCCTTCTTCCACCTTAGTTCACAATAAGTTTTGATAAATTGCTAACTTTCGTACAGATTAGTTCTTATAGTGGTCGTCTAAAAATTTCTGAGGGTAAACCCGGTAGGTCGGCGTTCTTTCAAGAGAATCAGAGTGCAGTGTTCCGGCAGGTTAAAACCACTGGAATATGATACACCCAGACCCTTAAGAACTTCAAGCACATCCATGTTGTGACCATCTATGCTTAGTTGAGGCCGCTCATGTAGAGCACCAATATGCATTTTTTATTATGTTATCTCAGCACTAAGTCTTTTTTGATGGTGCCCTCTGGGCGCTAAAACTAGAATTTTATTTATTTATAAGGTGATGACTAAACTACTTGTATAATACGATTTCTCGTGCAGTGGCTGCAAATGTCTGTGCAAAAATCTATTTTGGTAATAACACCCGACTGCCAATCAGTGCCATGAAAATTCACTTCATTAATAATGCGTTTATGTGTTACGGTTGCAATTGGTAAAAGTGAATACTAGGACCCGTTCATGTAATTTATCTGTACACTGTTGCTACTCACTTTCATTGGGTAGTGCGGTTGGCTGTCCGGTACGTCTTCCGTGCTGTAGCCGATAAATAGCATGCCAATTTTCGGAGTTGCATCCTTATACTGTACTCCGGCTCCATATTGTTCGTAAGTTTTTTGTCCAACACTTTGCCTTCCTTTTGTAAAATCCCAAATTTGTTGCGAGGATGTTTTGGGATTTCAAAAAAGATCATTTGTCATAGTACATATTTATTTACTCATATAAAGAGATGATGAATTAACACAGTCCACAAGCCTTGGCACACAGGAGACGGGCAGCGTGTGGCCTTGTTGTGCAATGATTCAGGTGCTTGAATTCCTCACATTCGGCCCTTCCAATAAGGTCTCTGCAGTCTGGTAGGCATGGAAGAAAACGCAAGTTTTAAGGTCGTGTCATTATGTGGTCTCTGACTGTACTCGATCATTAAAATTTAATTACCTCTTGTCTCTGCCAGTTGTTGGACACAGGACTCCTTCTCGACGATGACGTGTCTGATGCAGAGGGAAGGAGGAATCGGTAGCCTGTCATTGCTGAACTTTCCGATCGATGGTCTTGTATAGAACACTACTCTTCGGAGACGGAAGTTGTCTACACATTTGGATGTAGTGGAGTGAGCTTTTGGACAGCCTTTGCAGGGGAATAGGCGGTAGGACCTGCATACGTATATTTTAAGGGTTACAGGCAGGAAATGCGGAGAGGAGGCGTCATAAATTTGTAACAACGAAATGTTGTAGCTTTTAAACTTTTAGCCTCTATTTGGTAGCTCAGAACTGCCAACTTACCGTCGGATTTCGCAACAGCCGTTATTGTTCACCATGTATTCCTTCCGTACGGCCAGTCGGAATTTCTTGCTTGCGGTGAGTTGACAGGCGGAAATCGACTGTTTCTCAGCGCTCTCACCATCAGCAAAAGTGCAGCCCTGACAGTTCAACTCCTGCTTTCGCATTTTAAATCGGCAACTAGGAGGTTTCCCCGATATTTTGGCAAGATTCACAGCCGCGGTGATCCGAATCAGCTGTCGCTTCTTGCTCGCTTTATCACATGGGGTTATAATCTCAAAGCTGCCGACAGGACAACCTTTAAGTTAGAACAGACGGCAAAAAGGAAAAGCAGAATTACGTGTCCTGCCTGAATTTTAGCTGAGCAACTACTTGGGAAATAAGAGGACTTACGATCGCAAAGAATAGTTTGAGCCTCCTTGATGACCACACAGCGACCGTGGTCGAGATCGAGTTTGTAATGGACTCGGAGGACTGTCATTCGACCCGTTGACTGGCACTTCCCATAGTAGGTATAAGCACGTTTGCAGATGCCGACGCCACAAGTCCCACCGCAGACCTAAAATCCAAGTAGCCAGATGCCCATGGTGTATTGATGGTTGTGACGAAATATTCCTGGCCGTTCCATATTACCATTTATATCACGTGTAAACAAATTTAAGTACAGAAATGGTGGCTCGCACTGACGACTTGCTGTGTCATTATGCAAATCGACTGTCGTTTCCCCATTTGTGATCATGAGTATTAACTATATATCCATACAAAATAACGTAGGATGGGGATTCA